ATACTAAGGATGCTGAGGAACTGAGGATACTGAGATACCAAGGATACTGAGATGCTGAGATACTGAGGATGCTGAGGAACTGAGGATACTGAGATGCTGAGATACTGAGGATGTTGAGATACCGAGGATACTGAGATACTGAGGATGCTGAGATACTGAGGATGCTGAGATACTGAGGATGCTGAGGATATTGAGATATGAGATACTGAGGATGCTGAGATACTGAGGATGCTGAGGAACTGAGGATACTGAGATGCTGAGATACTGAGGATGCTGAGATACTCAGGATGCTGTGGATACTAAGAATGCTGTGATACTGATGATACTGAGATGCTGAGGATGCTGTGGATACTAAGGATGTTGAGAAAAAGAGCAGGGGGGAGAGGAGACCTGACCACCGATTTGGGGGTGTGAGGTCACTTCAAGACTTTGTCAAGGCTACCCAATCCGGGAAGTGGGATGGGGGGTGGGGGCAGGCTGTAGGCGGATCGGATGGGGCTGTAGGAAGCTTGGTGCTGTTTTGGGGAGCCAGGCTTTACTAAGGGTGGGCTGAGGGAGACTGGGTCCTACCGCAGAGTCAAGCTGCAGAAGTGAGACCGGGCGGGCAGACCCTGGGACTGGTGCCCTAGTGGAGTTGACAGGGAGGGTTGGGGTCTCACCCAGAGGCATGCTGGGAGGAGAGGCGCGGGTCCCCAGCCGGTTGCATCATCCCTGAGAGGAGGAGGGCCAGGCTGTTCCTGACATGTCCGCAGTGCGCGGTTTCCGTTGGCTCTCAGGCGGGGATGGCTGCGATATTATATTGTTACCTGTTACAATGTCCCCACTCCCACCCGCACCCCTACTTCAGAGTGAGGAGCCCCCTGGGCTTTGTCCTCCGCTCGGACCTTGCATCTGTGCTGTGGGGCTCCCCAGGGCGCTACGCGGGGTGGTGGGCACGCTTGGGTGGGGCCACGGACTAGACCTCGCCGCCCCTTCCCTGAGAGGTGGGGCTGGCTGGCGGAGGCAGTGCCGGGCGGGCGATGGGGCGCAGTGTCCTGGCTGCCGGAGCCCCCCTTCCGCAGAGCGAGCCGCGGTGTCAGCCGTGATGTCACAGCCCGCCCCAGCCTGAGCTTGGGCTGCGGCGGCGGCGACGCCCGTCCCTCTCCCCGCGCCACAAACCAGCTGGCGGCTGGGTGAGGGCATCGCTCGCAGCCAACCAGCGCGGCGGGAGGGGCGCCGGGCGGGCGGGGGGCGCGCAGGCCGTCACGCGTCACCACCGTCACAGCGCCCAGCGCAGCCCGGGAGGCAGCCCAGCTCCGCGCTCCGGGACCCGCGCCCGGTCCGCTCCCATGCGGAGCCTCATCCACTGACCTGGTGACGCCGGAAAGGTGAGGCCGCAGTCGCTCAGCTTGCGCCCCGCGCCCCTGGCACCCCACACCCCGCGCCCCGGGCACCCCGGGCCCGCACCCTGTACCGCACCGACTGCGCGCACAGCCGCTGTCCCTGGAGCGGGCGCCAGTGTCCTTGCGCGGCCGCCGCGGCTCAGCATTCCCGACCCTGGTCGCTTCGGAGAACAATGGAGCGAACCCAAGACCCTTCGCCCTCCCGCATCCCGCCGCGCCCCGGTGCGGAGGCCGGCCCTAGCTGGGCGGGTCCCTAGTGGAGGGCGAGCCGGGGTGGGTCTGTGACGGGTCTGCCCCCTTCCTTGGATAGCCCCCTCCCCCGAATGAACCGCTGGGACAGGGCCCGGACGGGCTGCTGGGGGGCGATGGGGGAGGGGAGGGAAAAGAGGGGCTGGGGCTCAGGGGGGCGCCCTGGGGGCGCGGCTGCAGCGCCCCCGCCCAAGGAGAGGGCGCGCAGAACGTCAGGTGCGCACAGCGGCCCTGGTTCCCGGGTGGGGATGCGGATGCTGGAACCCAGAGCAAAACAGGCAAACGGGGCTGCCTGCGACCCCCATGGCGGCCTGCACTCCCTTCCCGAGAGACTCAGCCCCTCCGGGAAGGCTGGCTGCCGGCACCCCAGAAACAGGTGTGGCCTGGGCTGGGCGCGGGAGGGGCTGCGGCGCTGCGCCATCTGGGCAGGTGGCTCTCCCCAGGAGGCCCAGCTCAGATGACAGGAGGAATCCAGGCAGGGAAAATCTCAACTTTCCCCCAAACCAGCAACATCCCCCGCGCGGGGAGGGGTCAGTGGCCTCCTGGCCGGCGGGAGGGAGGGTCTCAGGCGGTGGCCGCCGGGAGGGGCAGCGGGAGCGGAAGGATGGAATGCCGAGTCATCGGGCCTGCCGCGACGTCGCTCCGCGCGGACCCGATGCGCGTCCACGTCCTCAGGAATAGGGACTTCTCTCCAAGTGGCGGCCCCATCTCTGGGTCCCTACGCTGCCCAGATTAGAGGCTTGTGGGCTCCCGAGATGACCCTGCATGCAGAAGGGCAGCCACAGAGACAGACAAACCCCGACATCAGCCGCGCCACCCATTTCCTGGGACAAACGGGCCACAGGGACGCCCAGAGGCCCCCTGGCGCTGCCGATACAGCCCCCCACCCCCTGCAGCCTTACCTTCTCTGTACCCCTCCCCTCTCCCGCAGACCTTGGGTTGGCGGCTGGGGACAGGGTGCGGGTGGGGGAAGGTTGGGGCTCTACCTGCGGCGGCCATTTTGCAGGTGTGGTTGGCTGAAGGAGCAGCGTGGGATGGGGTGTACAGGGGCCTCAGACCTCTATGCCCTCTGGCCGCTGGCAGGGGAGCGATGGGGGTGGACGTGGATTCTTGCACCTCTTAAACAAACCAATCCAACCCTATGCACAGCCACGAGTTGGTCCTTGTTCATGGGACCCTACAGGACAGAGGAGAAGGGCCCCTTTGGGTTTCCGTGGCTGCAGATTTTCAGTGGGGGTAGACTGTCTCATCTTACCCCCTCAGGGTGTCTGGTGGGTTCCAGCCACTGTGTGGCACCCCTCGGGGGCATAAACCCATGCAGAGGTGGGCGCTTTGTCTGGGGCGGTGGTCAGGATCCAGGGTTCTAGGTATGGGTGGGGTGGTGGTGGTGCGGGGCTTGGGGGGGGGTGGCAGCAGGAAAACCACAGTCTGAGGGGCCAGATAGAGGCGGTGGTGTCTTGGCCTCGGGACCACCATGTCTCCACCTCCCCCAGGCCTCCGTCCTCTGGGAGGAGGTAGCAGGCCCTCTCTCATCCAGTACAGGCAGGTGGGTCTTTGAGGAGCTGTGGGCCCTGTCCAGGTTGGGGTGCGGATTCGGGCAGCAGGCTTTCTGGGAGGCTGGGGTCTCTGGGGAAGGGGGCTTAGGCTGGAATGGGGGCTGCAGGTGGCTCCACCCACTTGTTTTCTTCAGAGATCCAGCATCCTGCCCCCGTCAGGGACCCGCTGGGTGCTCCTAAGTCCTGGGTGTTCTCTCTGTCTAAGTGAGAACTCTCAGAGGGCTATTAGATGCAGGTGGCCCTGCTGGGTGTGGCCCCCGGGGCAGGTAGGGGTATGGGGGCTTCTGAGGAGGGTCTGCTGGGTGCCAGCTGTCCCCCCACCCACCACATGCTGCCCCTACTGGGCTTTCTCTCCTATACCCAGCCGGAGTGCCCGATAGACTGCCCGGCCCAGGACTGACTGCCATCCCAGGCAGGGGAGACCAAGGCTCTGCTCACAGCCAGAGTGGAGGAGGGGCTCAGCCTTTGTCTGGTCACTCCAAGAGGGTCCATGTGGGCCACCAGGTGGAAAGGGGGGCATGCCCTGCCTTGAGGGAACTGGCCAGGCCAGGCCATCCAGCCTGAGACCCTGTCTAGCCCACTGGTGAGCCAGCAGGGGCCTGAGTCACAGGCAGTGGTCAGCTGGGCCACCCCACTCAGCAGCAGTTGATGACCACTGGGAGGAGAGCAAGCTCCCTGGGGCCCCACCAGCATGTATGCTCTCTGGCCCCACCCCTCCCCCAGCTGCCCCTAAGAAATCAGGTGTGCCCTCTCTCCCCTCTCCCCTGGGAGCTGCTGAGGGTGGGCCTGGGTGGGGCCAGGAACCCTGCAGCCCTGCAGTTCTGCCCTACTTGTGAGTCAGGGACCACTGCTGCCCACCTCTTTAGGGAGTGGGCTCTGGGTCACTGCTACCGCAGACTTGCTGAGCAGGAAGGCCCTCTCTAGGGAGGAGCAAGGCTGCCGGTCAGCCCAGCGGCCCCTGGGGCACCCCCACCCCACCAAGTGGCTTGGCTTGGTTTTGTCATTTCATAGATGGGGGACTGGGAGGGCAAGAGACACAGACAAGGTCACACTGTGACAGTCCCCAGGCCCCCAATCCCAATGGCCTGACCTGGGTGTTTGGGCACCGTGTTGCCTTCCATGCCCTGCTCTGAGGGGACGGCGCAGGCCTCGGGGCTGTGGGGGTCAGACAGGGAGGGAGGAGGGAGGGCTTCTCCCAGGGTTTCCTTTCATTGAAGCCAGTCCAGGTCTGGGCCTGCCAAGCCTTTGGAGACTGAGCCTCTAGCTCAGATAGGCTGTGTGGGGTGGCTCTCTGGTTCAGGGCTCCCCATAGCTTGGGGCGACCACCCAAGGACTCCCTGCTCACACCTCCTTTCTTATCCCTCCCCTTCTATGATATTGACCCTGACTACTGGGCAGCCCCCGTGGACTGTGAGGGTCCCCTATACACACATACACATGGGCTGTGGGGTCCCTTACACACCCACCCACACATGGGATATGAGTGTCTTCTATACACATCCACCCACATATGCGCTGTGGAGGTCTCCCCTCCCCCACATGCCCCCCTCACAGGAGCTGTGGGGGTCCCTCTGTTCACATCACCCTCCTCCTTTCTAGGAACTCTCTCCATGCCCCTGCACATGAGCATTCCAGCCCCCTAGATGTCACCTTCTCTCAAGCCCCCTAAGCCCCTCCTTAGCCCCCCGCCCCAGGCCCAGGGGCTCCCCCTCTGCACCCTCCTGGGCACTTGACGTGCTGTGAATGTTGGGTGGGTGCAGTGAAGGGGCAGTGAAGGCCTACACTGGGCTGGATGCTTGCTGACTCCTTGTCTGAGGCTCTGAAACCTTTATGAGACAGGTGGCGATCCAGAGGAGACCCAGAGGATGAGACTTGTATAAGGCAGACCTGGGGGCTTCTAGCCACCTCTTCTGACCCCAAGCGGCTGCATTTACTGCTTTATGCCCAGCCCCACCCCCAGCCCCAGTCCAGGCCCAGCGCCAACTTCAGCCCCAGCCCCAGC